AGCTAATGAAAGAATGATTATCCAAACTCTTTCACATTTAGACTTATGAAAACAAGTGAAATTAGCTTTTCCATACTGTACCTGTACAGATGAAACTTGATAGTCCTCCGTAGATGACATCATCATTGTCTGGCAATATAAAGGGACACCTCGTCTGAACCTCCAAACAGTATTGCTTGCAAGGAATTCTGTTGCTGCAGTGAAACTGTGTGACTTCAAAATACTGGGAACAGAGCCAGGCCTTGTAGACAGTCTGGAAAAAGAAGAACCAGAAGTATAGATGGATGACAATAGCACTGTCATTATTAGAGCACACTGTACTACACACCTACATTAATGCTGCTTCTGAAAGCAGATTTTGAGAGAATATCACCTGGGTAAATCATACTCTTGAATTTTGGCTGTCCTTTCACTTCAGAAATGAAAACTCCAGCCAAGTCACTTAAACATAACAGTTAGTCAGGACTAGGCTTTTGCTAAAATTTTATCTTAATTTGTAAACAGGTATGTCTCTTAGGTGCCACTTAAGACACATGTAGACAAGCTACACACTCCTATTCTTGTACATTCTCGTATACAAACTGAGAACATAATTTCATTTGAAGCTGGTATGGGAAAAATCCAGGAAAGTAAATCCAAGAAAGAGTTAAAACTGGGTTCAGGATGGTTCTGTTCTTTATATCATCTAGAGCTAAGCTACCAGGTTGCAATAGGTGGTGCTGCTTCCCTTCAAATAAAACCTTATGCAGTTGACAGCATTAAAATACACATTAGGGTTCCTGAACAGCAAGAGCTGTAATCTGGGGGGTAAATGTGCAACACTGAGGACCAATGTCCACATTTGGAAGCTAAAAGGAATATATTAGAGATGCTGTCATCTGATGATGTGCAGCCATGGCTCCAGGACCTGTGATTATTACAATTATTATAATCCTTTAAACAGAGAAGTAAAACAAATTTGTTGATTTTAGTTAACTTTGACTATTCTCTTCTGAGCAATGGTCTTTGTCATAAGAATTAAATTAGCCTTTTGGACACAAGAAAGTTTCATATCTGATCATACAAAAAATAGATTGGGCACCAAGCTACAAGGTGATGAAAATTCTATATCTCTGAGTACAGTGAGGTTTGCTTGTATCTAATTTTATTTTACACTTATCTCTTTTGAAGTACCTTATTTACTGGCTAGATACATGCTATCTTGGTTGTTATATAACGAAAATTTCCTTTTTGTGTTCATTCAAAATATCTGAAAAGCTTAGTAACTACCTTTCTTTTATCGCAGGCTGAAAAGCAATATGGTTAGCTGATTATTTCCCTTCTTCTTAGACTTGTTTTTAATAAAAAATGAAACTGAGATTAAATTTTTCAGTACTGAAAATTCAAAACCTGACATCTGAAAAGAGCAATCTAGCTGAGAGTTTGGTTTCCTTTCAGTATGTTTCATCTCGTCAGTTATAATTCCTATTAGTGTCAGTAGCAGCTTAAATTGTATAATTAATTTCAATGTATTAGTCCCAGAATCACAACATTTTTGTGTTATTTTGTTTGCAACAAAAACAAGTATGTGTGAGGTTGCTAGGTGATAAAATGAAGCCCTTATCACTAATCTACGGTTTGTGGTTATCTCTTTATAGTAGCTTTTACCTACTATATTCTGTAGAACATGACTTTTTTCATTACAAATTCAATTTTAATTGCTTACAAAGGTTTTCTATCCACAGTAAATGACTAATTAGAGGGAAGATTAGGCAATGTGTGTACTTTCTGTTCTTAAACTTCTAAAAAACAAGTAGGCTCCCCAGTGTTCACTGTATTCCTCACCACATTTTAATGTTTCCATTGCTATATTGACACTTGAAACAATAAAATAAATAAGGTAATAGTTTTTTTCTAGTTTTAATTAGTCAGAGTACATAGCCTATTGGTTTGAGAAAGGAATGCTGGTTCTGAGAATAGATATTCACAGATATTCCTTCCTGATCCCTAGCACTGTGTATCTGTTCAGTAGGAATCTACATTTTCTCTTCATAGAATGGATCTTAGAGTAGTAAGTTGGTTTATGAATCATGTTTGGAACTGTACATCAGTTTGTAGCAAGCATATCAAATAGCACACCATACATGGTAACAAGATAATGAGCAAACCCACGTGTCTAGTTAAGCAAGACAGGAAATAAACATTTATTCAAGACCAGAAGTAAATAACACAGTCATAGGTTTCTGTGAACATTTTAGTGTATTCAATCTCAGTTTGTACACATCATATTCCTGTTCTGATTCACAAGTTCTCAGCTTTGGCTCAAAATTACATTTGAACTCTTGTCCGTGTTTTTAAAGAATGCATGAATGTACCTGTAGCTGAGATCTGTTTCCCAAATAACTGTCTCCCACTCCACGCACTTTTTATTGCAACCCTTTTCAACCTCACCTGCAGTCTACATCCAGATTTATAACACATTTGTGCTCATTTTGCTCTTTTTTGACCAGTGGGGTTACATGAAAACTAATATTTTCAGAGTTCTATCTGGATAAGGACTGAGGTAATATCCCACTCTGGGGTGAGATACTGATACTTATCAGCCTTCCTACCCTCATGATCTGGTTTCTTAAAAAGAAACTTCAGGTTTGTGGGACAAGATAACTCTGCAGCAGACTGTAAGATGTACAAGAATTGGTAGGGAA